GGTTTTCTCTTCTCTAGTCGTGGCGCGCAGGCTCCAGGGCGCCTGGGCTGTGTAGTTTGCAGCATGCGGGCTCTAGTTGAGACGCGTGAGCTCAGTAGTTGTGGTACACGGGGTTAGTTGCCCTGCAGCATGTGGGGTCTTAGTTCCCCGACCAGGAATCGAACCCACGTCCCCTGCATTGTAAGGGTTGTAAGGTGGATTCTTTACCACTGGACCATCAGAGAAGTCCCCCCACCCCCCCTTTTTATTTCCGATGAGATAAATGCTTTTATTTAATTAATTAATTTATTTTTGACTGCACTGGGTCTTCGTTGCTTCACGTGGGCTTTCTCTAGTTGCGGCGAGCGGGGGCTACTCTTTGTTGCGGTGCGCAGGCTTCTCATTGTGGTGGCTTCTCTTGTTGCAGAGCACGGGCTCTAGGCACGTGGGCTTCAGTAGTTGTGGCACGTGGGATCAGTAGTTATGGCACACGGGTTTAGTTGCTGTGCGGCATGTGGGATCTTCCCGGACCAGGGCTCAAACCTGTGTCCCCTGCATTGGCAGGCGGATTCTTAACCACTGTGCCACCAGGGAAGCCCCTGCCAGCCGTTTTTATAAGTAAAGTTTTATTGGAGCACAACCACACTCAGTTAAATACTGTTTTCATACTACAGTAGCAGAGTTGAGTAGCTATGGCAGAGTCAGTAGCCCACAACCTAAAATGTTTACTTTCTGGCCTGTTACAGAAAGTTTGCTGACTCCTGGTTTAGACATACATTTTCTTCCACTCAACATTGCTGGATAAACTCTGAAAATGTCTTAGTCATTGGTTGCCGTTTATCAAGATTTTTTAAAGTGATATACCATTACTTTTGATCTAGCAAGGTACCACAAAGGTAAAAATTAAGTTACAGCTGTAGTTGATTACATTCCTGGGGCAAATTCTCCATTCTTCAATTGAACACCTAATTGAAGTTGGGTGTTTTCTAAATTGCACCAGTAGCACATTCACAAGTCATAATTTTGTTGTCATATTTGTGGGACCTCAGTGGAAACTAGGATAGAAAGAATCCCATTATAACTGGCTAAATGATAAACATCTAACCCCGTTTCAGTTAAAATTAGAGAAAGTAAAAGATTATTCCTAGAGGTTTGTTAAGCAAGTTATATGTCAATAAAGGGCATGAAAATATTTTCCCCCGGTCTATTCTTGGAGTAGCCTAATACTAAAGTTTTGTCTCTGGACTTACATAGCAGTGGGCCTTTGTTCAGACAAGGTTGAGTAAATGAAGTACTATCAGTTTTCCACTTGTGATTTGTTCATTATTCTACGTGTATATGTGGCCATTAGCGCATTGCCTAACACAGAACATGTCTTCAGAAATATTTGTTGAATTAATGTCCTTGCAAGTAGAAATCTTTACAGGATTCACTTATTATTATGTTGCATTAGGCCTTTATACATATAGAAATAGTAAATTTTATCATTGCTCAGAGGACGGCGAGGTTAACCCTAGCTGAGATTGGTAAACGAGACATGACAAAGAAAATACAATTAGAGTAACTACTGAAGGACTGAAAAAACAGAAAAGATAGGTAAGGAAGGCATATAAGGCAGGGAGATGGCATTGACAGAGACAAGCACATGTAAGATGAAATGACAGGAGTGGGGCTGTCCCAGCCTGCTGGAAGCAGTCTGTTTATTCAGGTTAGAGTGATTGCTCGTAAAATTGAACAGGTAGGTTAGGTCTATAGCTCTAGAATTTAAATACCTTAGTTACCTTATCATATTACTAGAAAACCACAAGATGCTTGTGCAGAGGAATAAAAAGGAAAAGACACTAGGTATGAGGAAGATGAGTTAAGAGACCCTGAAAGGTGGAGGAGCAATAGACAATGACAGGAAAGAATGATATGAGAACTGTTGAAACGTATGTAAGTTGACGAGATCAGGGGGAAGAGAGTGAGGAGGTCAAAACTGATCACAGGGTTTCTAGCCTCAGAAAACACGGTCTTGTCATTGATAGAAAATAGGAAATCAGAAGCATTATGAGGGAAAGGTGATTAACTCATCTTTAGTAGAGGAGGTCTTGAGCTCAAGAGAGAAGCCAGGGGCTTCCCTCGTGAGAGTCTGCCTGCCGAAACAGGAGACACGGGTTCGTGCCCCGGTCCCGGAAGATCCCACATGCCGCGGAGCGGCTGGGCCCGTGAGCCATGGCCGCTGAGCCTGTGCGTCCGGAGCCTGTGCTCCGCAACGGGAGAGGCCACAACAGTGAGAGGCCCGCGTACCGCAAAAAAAAAAAAAAAAAAGAGAGAAGCCAGGGCTGGGAGGTAGATTTCAGAGTCCCCAGAATAAAAGAAGAGGTAGTCAAGGGTCTTGTTGCAGTGAGACTAAGAAAACTGCAGTCCCAGAAAAGGCCTTAGTATTTAGCTCAGGAGATCCACCATTACCTTTGAAAATGAAGACCAGGTTGCCAAAGATTAAAGCTGGGTCACCCAACGTGAGGACTTGGACTTCTAATTGCTCGTCAAGGTAGTATTGGAGAGATTTCAAAAAGCCTAATGGAAATTCCACATACAGCTAAATAACAAACAAAAATGTCACAATTCTTTTTCTTTTCCTGAAATCATACCAATCCAATGTTGGTTTTTATGCGGACTAGAAGTTCTGAGGTACATTAAGGATGGATTTGATTGATTGAAAGTGGGAAAGTGCATTATTACTTAATCTTGCTTCTTCGGCCTTTTGAAAGAATTCATTTAAGTGTTCCTTGGAACACACTTTGGCAAATGTATGAGATAATGATGTGAGGTTGCCTAGCAGCAGACTCTCTGATGGGCAGAAGCAGGCTTTTAGTCCCAAGATGTCCACATAACTGCCACACTAATAAGTTACAGAGTGTTGCCACATACATTGTTTCATCTGGTCTTAGCACCACTTGTTAAAATATCTCCCAGCCACCTTTATTTCCGAAAATAATAAGGCAGTCTCCTTTTAACTTTGCAGATTCCTAGCTGTTGAGAGTTTCTCTAGAATTTATTTGGAAGAATCCGGTACTTTCTTTCCTTCAGCTTCTGTTAAGAAAATTGAAATCCTGCTTTTTTTTTTTTAATGTCCATTAGCAAAATCACCTTAGAATGAGTTTGTGCCATGTGTGTGTATTTTTTTATGTGCATGTGTCACATCTGTGACTATTTAATTCAGTTACCCAAAGAGTAATGAGGCAAAGAGCCATCATAAATATTTGAGGTTAGAAGTGGATTTTGACATGGACATATTTCTTACTCTTCTGTTTGATTATGTACATTTCAAGGAATTGATTATTATAATCTGTGTATCATTAACTAAAACTATGAAAAGCTCATTGCTAAAAATCCTTAGAGTATTTTTCAACATCCTGTGCTTCTTCAGGGCTTCAAAAATAGACTCCTAAATGAGAACTGTGTGCACATCATGGCTTGTAAGTTATGTGTGTTTAGAAGTTTCTCCTGAAATAGACAAAAAGCATAAGCAAAATTAACCTGCAAGGTTAATTGAACACTCTCTTAGGAGAACTGCACTCCGTGCCAGAAGGTTGCTGGATTTTCTTTTTAATTTTAAAAAGAGAAAGACCCCAACAGACAATTGGGAAA